GCATATTTCCGGAGTTCATCAGTTCATCTCCTCTACTAGTAGTTTTTGCATCTCACTAAGGACCATGGATTCCTTCGCGGAGGGCCTGCTCCACGAAGATAAGCTAAAGGACACGCAGGTGCCAGAGGGTCGAGATCAGTGTCAAGTGGATATAGATTGCTCTGTAGTACATAGATGTTGTCCATGTCATCAGGGTTAATGGAACTACAGTGTGGCTTTGAGGACAGCCTCATCACTATGATTTTTGGTGTGGGAGCAGCTGTTGCAGCCTTCCCACCCGTCATGGACCTTTGCGTGTCTTTCTTGGGTCGCAAGGGTGCAGTGATTGCTGGTGGGGCAATCTTCTGCTTGGGGTCCGGCTTGCAAGCGCTTGTAGCTAGGCTACAGGTCGTTGGTGTCCATGTCAACAGTGTACAACCATGTTTTTCTACAGTTCTTACTTCAAATACAAATGAGCTGCCTGTGCGCGTTTTCGAGACAGGTTGCCGGTGCTGGTGCTGGAGCTGGCTGTGCACGTGGTGCCGGTGCTGGGTGCCGGTGCTGGTGCTGGTGCTGTGAGCTGGCTGTGCGTGTGGTGGAGACAGGTTGCCGGTGCCGGTGCCGGGTGCCCGTGCTGCGAGATGGCTGTGCGCGTGGTGGAGATAGGGTGCCAGTGCCGGTGCTGGGTGCTGGCTGTGCGCGCTTGGCGCGTTGCAGAGACAGGGTGCCGGGTGCCGCTACTTCCACATCATGGTATATCCAGTGTTTTTTCGAGATTCTCCTGTTCTTACGCGTGACCTTTGGGTCCTTACAAGTTGTGTAGCTTGCGTGTGTGAGGGGGTCTATTTTCGGATCTTTTTTTCCCCAGATAGCAACAGCTATATGGGGTTCTTACTTCAAAAAACAATGAGCTGGCTGCGCGCGCTTTTGAGACATGGTGCTGGCGCTGGGCGCCGGTGCCGGGGCTGGGTGCTGTGAGCTGGCTGTGCGCGGACAGGGTGCCGGTGCCAGGTGCTGGTGCTGGGTGTTGTGAGCTGGCTGTGCCAATATGTTTTCAATCGATCAGATCTATTCTTGAAGCGCCAGATTCACAAACCATGTTATGAGTCGAAATACAGCATCCCATAGATGGCACGCGCTCTTTGCACATGTTTCCTCTCCATAGCCAGAACATTCTATTACTATAGCGTTTTGCTAATTTAAACAGGTTCCTGTGTGTGCTTTGGAGCTGCTGCCAATGCAGGGTGCAGTCCGGAAAAATCTTTTGTATGTTTTTGCTATCTGGGGTCTATGCTGGTGTCATTGTTTTTGATTCCTGGTTTAAGTTTTGCAAGCTGGACATGACGTGATTCCTGGGTTTGTTCCCAGATAGTGAAGCTATGGGGCTCTTACTTCAAATAACAATGAGCTGCCTGGTATGTGAGCTGGCTGAGACAGGGTGCCGGTGCAGGGTGCCAGTGCCGGTGCTGGCTGCTGGCTGCGCGCGTGGTGGAGACAGGGTGGTGCTGGTGCTGGTGCTGTGAGCTGGCTGTGCACGTGGTGGATGCCGGTGCTGGGTGCCGGGTGCCGGTGCTGGTGCTGTGAGCATGGCTGTGCACAGGTGCCGTGCTGGGTGCTGGCTGTGCGCGTGGTGGAGATAGGGTGCGGGTGCCGGTGCTGGTGCTGGTGCTGGTGTTGTGAGCTGGCTGGGGTACCGGTGCCGGTGCTGGGTGCTGGCTGTGCGCGTGGTGGAGACAGGGCGCCGGTGTGAGCTGGCTGTGCGCGTGGTGGGGACAGGCCGCTGGCTGTGCGCGCTTGGCGTTGCAGAGACAGGCGCCGGTGCCCGTGCGCCGCTACTTCCAGGGAAACTGAGGGAATCAGCAATCAGAACATCATGGTATATCCAGTGTTTTCTCGAGATTCTTCTGTTCTTACGCGTGACCTTTGGGTCCTTACAAGTTGTGTAGCTTGCGTATGTGAGGGGTCTATTTTTTGTTCCCCAGATAGCGACAGCTATGGGGTTCTTACTTCACATAACAATGAGCTGGCTGCGCGCGCTTTCGAGGCAGGGTGTGTGGCGCTGCTGTGCGCGTGGAGACAGGGTGGCGGTGCCGGGTGCTGGTGCGGGCTGTGGTGCTGGTGCTGGGTGCTGTGAGCTGGCTGTGCGCGTGGTGGAGCGATGGCGGGGCGCTGGTGCTGGCTGTGCTGCGCGTAGCTGGCTGTGCGCGTGGAGAGAGGGTGCCGGCGCCGGGTGCTTGTGCGGGGTGTTGCTGGTGCTGGGTGCTGTGAGCGGGTACCGGTGCTGGGCGCTCGCAGTGCGCGTGGTGGAGACAGCGGGCGCCGGCGCCGGTGCTGGCAGTGTGCGTGGTGGAGGTGCTGCTGGAGACAGTGCCGGGTGCTGGGTGCTGGGTACCGGCGCCGGGCGCTGGTGCTGGGTGGCGTGCCGGTGCTCGGTGCTGGTCCCCGCTTCTGACAGTGAAGTGAAAACAACCGCCGCTTCTGACAGTGAAGGGTGAAAGACCGCCGCTTGTAGCAGTGAAGGGCGACCAACCGCCGCTTCTGACAATGAAGTGCCAGCAGTCATGGGCCGCATGAACTTATGCGCGCAACATCATACGGTGTTGTCGCTTGAGCGTTCTTTGTCAATTAACGCTGTGGGGTATTTACACTCTTCAGGTTCTGTTTTGGCCGACAGCTGTCTGTGTCAAGGGCTGCACTCTTTGCGCGCATACTTTTGTATGTATAATGTTCTATGCGCAACGTCAGGCTCTCAACCAACCATTGTTTCAGCATGTTTCAGCATGCTACACACACAATAGTCGCGCTGGATACTGCTTGGCCTTGGGCGAGTGAAGCCTACGGGCTTTGCCGTTTGTGCGCATACTTTTGTGCATATAGACTTATACGCTCAAGTCTTACGGTCTTATCGTTGCTTCAAGCATGCTGCTTGGCCTTGGACCAATGACACTCAATTACGGGCTTTGCTGTTTGGGCGCATACTTTTGTGCGCATAAACTTATACGCGCAAGATCATACGTTGTTATTCCCCAAATAGGGATAGCTATGGGGTTCTCGCTGCAAATGAGAATAGCTGGCTGCGCGCTTTCGAAAGGGTGTCGGTGCTGGTAGCTGGCTCGGCGCGCGATTAAGATGGGCGGCGGCGCTGGTCGGGTGCTGGCGCCGCTGCCGGTGTTGTCAGCTGGCAAAGCGCACCGGTGCTGGTGTCAGCTGGTTGTGCGCGCTGTGGAGGTGCCGCAAGCTGGCTGTGCACTGCGTACATTCTTGTTCCAGCCAGTCGCATGTCAAGAGGTCGTGGGATTCTGCCTAGCTATCTGGGTCTATGCTGGTGTAATTATTGTTGGTCATAGGTGCTATAGAAATCGGGAAAAGGAATCACATTCGTGGCTATGTAGCATTGAGGCCTGCAATATGACCATGATGCTTATGGGGCGCGTCATCGCTGGCTTCTCCGTGGGCTTGTTGTCTGGAAACGCCCCAGTGTACACCAGCGAGATTGCGCCGCCGAAGCTGCGTGGTGCCCTGGTAACCGGCTTCCAGTTTGCAATTACTGCCGCTTGGTTGAGCCTTAAATTTGCAAAAGCCGTCGATGTCGTCCTTGGCCATTGTCATGACGACTGCTTCGATATGTTTGCGTGTCGCATTATCTTGCACAACTCCATGCCTCAGTCTGGAGTCTTTTGCAAGGTTGGAATCATGCTTGCATTTCTATTGGCCCTTGTCTTGGAAGATGTGGAGAAACCGTATGGTGGCTGGCGCTGGGTTATTGCTGCCCAGATCCTCGATTGACAACCCATGCATCATGTGTGGACCTTCAGATCGATTGCCAGAGCCAGAAGGCTTCCACGCGATTAGCAAATCACGTCCAATTTACTCCAAACTTTCTCTGAGGATAGTGCCGGGGCTATTGTTGGTCTTTGGTGGCATGGTGATGCCTGGGTCTCCACGGTACCTGGTGGCGCAAGGCAAGCCAAACGAGGCGCTGAAGATGTTGCTCAAGCTGCGCAGCCAGGAGAGAGGGGAGGGATTCGAGAAAGACAAACGGGGGAGATGCCCAAGACTGATGCCATTGCACCGCTGATTACCAATTGAATATATTAGGCATTTGTCATTTCCAGAAACACCTTCACCTTTCAAATCGCTATGCATTTGCTTGAATCCTGTGCTAAATTGCGTCTACCAACGGCACGCTCCGTTCCGAACTTCCAGCTTTTCTGCACTGGAACCACGCTTCGGTCAAATTCACGAGTTGGTAGCAATGTGAAGCGGTTTGCCTTTGCGAACAGCCGGCTTACACCAGCTTATGGCCGGTTTCAGGATTCCCTCTTTCCTAATTCGAGCCCTGAAGGATGTGCGTGTAGAGTTGGCCCAGATCTTGCAAGAGCACGAGGCAGAATCAGCTACTCACACCAGCTGGGGAGAGTTCCTCTCAGGGGACAACTGTGCCTTGGCGCCAGTGGAGCCTTTCACCTGCCACCTGCATCGAAGTGAGAGAAACGGTAGAGCAATGAAGTCCCGTCATATACCGAGACAGCTTATGTACTGCCCAGCGTAAGCTCCGGTAGATGCACACAGAAATAGTCCACGAGTGATTTTGCCGAGTAAAGCTCCTGGGCATTGGCGTCAGCATCCAGTTGCTTCAGCAGCTCTGTGGAATGAACGCCTTCATGTACGATGGCCCTTTGATCTTCAACAAGCTCTTTGGGTCTGAACATGCTGGAAGGCTCTTCACATTGGTTTCAGGCGGGCCGGATGGCTTGTACATGTGCGCCCAGAAATGATCGCCCATCCATCATGCACGCGCATGTGTTGGTAAGCTTGACCAGGTTGCCTTGAATGAATGGTGTTAAAGGTGTGGTCAACATCTTTGCCACCATCCCGGGACTCTTTTTGGTGGATCGGTATGGCCGTACCTTGCTGATGAAGTGGTCAGCCATTGGAATCTCAGATTGCTTCAGCTTCAGGCACATCCCGTGCTTGTCGTACTCAAAACAAGAGTTTCCCTGATTGTTTCCATGACAACCCATTGCAAGTTTTTTGGCTGGTTCAAGAAACATGGCTTCACCGAATTCTTGCTTCCCTTGTCACACACAGACACGCAGAGACAAACCACTGGGCTTTGGGAGCCCTTCTCTTTTCTCCAAGGAATGATGATTTGCTCAGCGGTTCTGGCTAGTGTGGGTGATGTATGCTTCCAGGAGATGGGTGCTTCCAAGGAAACATTATTATTGGCAGAGGGGCACATAAGTGTCAGACTGTCAGTTAGTTATGTTCCTCGAAAGTAATCCTTCCGACACAGTGCACAGATCCAGCATGTTGGCTACTTGGCCTTTAAACAGACAGGTTGCAGAACTTGGGCTTGAGTCAGGATGAAGAGTCATCCTGTGGAGACTGGGCAAAGTGGAACCTCGTTTGGAATGGAATGCTTGACATGCTGAAGTCACGAATATGGACTATGCATATTCTGCGAGAAAGAGCAACTTTTCTTTACCCCCAATCTGCCCTCACCAAGAGAGAAGCTAACAGCTCACACCCCACAACCGAAGTTCTGAGGACAGCGACCGTGGCCATTTGTGGCTTCATCCTGAACTTTGCCTACGGATGGGGTGGAATGGCTTGGGTCTACTGTGCCGAGATGTTTCCACAGAAACACCGAACAAAGGCAGGTGAACCCGTCTTCAAATCATCTAAATGTCAGGAAAGTCACTTGTGCATCTTGTGCACTTGGACCCTTCTTCAAATGCAGCAACCAGTAGGATCAGTAGGGCTGGTTTGAGGCGTCCGACGCTCCAGATCAGGAGATCAAGCAACTTTTGTTTGATTCTCAAGCTGCCAAGTGCCAGGGTGTCGCTGCCACGACCGATGCGAATTGGGCAGCTTGGCAGGTGTACAGATAGAAACCCTTTGACGGAATGCAGTGTTGGATCCGGCATCAGATTTTTGCCAAGGTGGGGAATATCCTCATTGCATTCTTGCCGCCCATCATGTTTGCCAACTGGGGATTCAACACCTTCTGGCTCTTTGTGGGAACAAACTGCTTGTGCTTCTTCTGTGCCGTGTCCTTGCCCGAAACAAAGGAGGGGTATTGAAATTGTGGATGTCAATGAAGCTTGAGGCTTAAGGGAGAGTACACATCTTTGCAGGAACAAACTTGGCAAATTATGCAGAGTTTCCCTTCGCTAGGACAAAAGCCTTGAGGAGATCACTCAGATGTTTAATGATTGGCTGCATCCAGTTGAAATGGATGACAAACCTGAGATCTTAGAGGCATGAATTGCTGAGACAAAGGACGTAGAAGAGCTTTCATACACTTTCATACGTTCTAGCTTTCGAGATAATTCACTTTTGATTTTTGAAATAGGTGTGTAAGAGCCTGTACAGCAGGGCCAGCTTTGCGCGGCCACTCATAAAGAATCTATATATACTCTAAGTTGCGTGCAAGGGCATGCTGGAAGTGAGTGTTTAAACTGACAAGGACTCCGAGTACAGAACGGGGGACCTTCTTTCGACCTGAAGCCATTTCACGGGAGGTGCTGCTTCGGGAGGCAAGGGTGCTTGCCTCCTCTGGGTCTTTCCACAATCTAGAGCTTTTTGCATGCAAGTTATGGGATTTAGAATGTCATGGAATTAGAATTGTGGAAAGGACGGAGTCATTGTTTGCCAAAGAGCATATGTATAATCTGAGCATATCTGAGCGTTTTGGCACTGCTGTGAAGCAGTCGAATTAGCTCAGACTCATGCTGGTGAAAAATGAGCCTCGGACAAAACTACCGCTGTGCCAAAACAACTGGAAAACCGATGGGGGGTGGTTTAGACAAATACAAAGTTTTGGCCGCCACTAAATGTTCATTTTGCAGTTGTGTATTGATATTATAATATACATATTGCAATTTTTTCATGCAGACAGTTGCGTCTTAGCAACCAGCAGCTGGTCGTCCCGCACTTGCCGTAGTTTTTGCTGCACTAGCTTTCTAGCTATTTGGCACTTTGCATAGCTCT